AATTTTTTTTGTGTGTGTTTCTCACTTTAAAAGACTATATTTTGAATCTATTTTATTTTTGTTTAAACAATGAGAATTTGTCTATTTTTTTGCACAAAACAAACTTTAATTAATCAAAAAAAAAGTGTAAAAGAAGAAAGTCATTATTTATAGAATAATGTACACATAATGGTAATATTATTTGTACGCAAAAAATGTTTAATTTTTTTTCAATAATATATTGCCGTAGTGCTGTGGATGTTATATTGCTCCAATTTTTAAGTATGGCTGTCAAGGTTGCAGGTTAAAATCCTCCATTGAGAGCAACTTTTTTAGATTTAAATATTTTATTTCAAAATAATTTTATGTTTTTCAACTAATATATATATATATATTTTATAGTTACATTATATTGTTGTTAGTTATAGTTTATTTAGGTAGTCCCAGTCAAGTGTACATATACCAACTGACTTCAAAAGGGATAGGCACTGTGTAATTTACAAAGATCTACTTACTTAAATTGGGATAAGTGCAATGTAGTATACATACATGGATAAACTTAAATAGGGAAAGGAGCAGTGGAGTGTACATGCATCAATTGATGGCTTAGGTTTGGGCTGGAATTCTTTTAGATAAAAGAAAAAAAATCAATATTTCTATAAATAGGGTTTATAAATTAATTTAATTTACATTTAAAAAATAATAACTTAAATTACACTAGATTTTTAGATGAAATAGTTAATAAAATAGATAAAATAAGTAAAGATTTAAAAAAATAAATTTGATATAATATATTCTTACACGGATAAATAATATATATTTTAATAAGATAAGAAAAGTACGCTAACCTTTTAATTAAAAAATCATAAAAGCAAGTTGCGCTAATAAATCTAAACCAAATATATTATTTTATTTTTAATTGTATTACAAACATTTTTTGGTATTTAGTAAAATAATTAAACAAATAAAAATGATTTTCTGTTTATGGGAGTAAGAAGTATTTTGATTTAAAAAATATATACATAATATAATGTACTGAAGCTGTTATAAATTAAATAAGCATAAAAAATTATATACCTAATATAATGTACTGAAGCTGTTATAAATTAAATAAGCATAAAAATCAATTATCAAGTTTGTAGATTGCGGCGTATATTATTAAGACTTTGAAAACCAAAATAAAATGGAAAAGGAGAGCTTAAACTAAAACAACAGTTTGAGTTATTTTGATGTTTTTTAACAGTTATTATTTAGATTTAATCAAAAAGTTATACTAGCTCATAAAATAACTTCTCTTCAAATTTACAAATCAATATTACTTTTATTAAACATTTTAACCATTTATTAAATTGAACCTTTTATTAAACATTTAAATATTTTATTAAACTGTAATATGCTTATACATAATACATAATAATAGTAATGTAAAAATAAAAAAATATATATTACATTAAAACAGTAATATTTATAATTATAATACATATTTTATATTACATTTTACTTACATTAAACATTTTATAACAGTTTTATAACATTTCATTTTTTATAATATATTTATTACTTTTATTCAACTACTATTTACAAAATTATATAAAACCATTTTGCTTCACTATGTCAATTTTTCAATGAAGGCACAGCTTCTAAAAAATTTTTCAGAACTTTATGATCAGTTCTGTCTATGCCATATCTTGTAATATATCTATGGTTTTACACATTTAAAAAAAAGAAAAGGTGTCATTAGATGACTGAAATATATTCTGGTTTTGAACTAGTTAATTTTTCCTTTTCACTTTCATTTTCTGATGAATAGTAATTATCTTTATTATAAAGAACCTTGATATTTGCTAATTAAATGTTGTGCACTAAACGCAATCGATGATTTGCACTAATTAATTTTTCTACTTTCTTCATTACCTATGCTTCATCTTTATTTATAAAATTGTATTTAGAGACTTTTGAATTTTGGTATAACCCTTAGCACTTAAAAGTATTTTTAAATGGTAAGATGTACAAAACTAAACAAATAATAAATTATCTTTGACTGTTAATTGCACAACAACTGTGTGAATTGAGTTATTAACTGATTTTATGAAATATTTTGAAATTGTTGAATAATTATTCAAATTTGTCCATTGTTATAGTTGTATTTTTATTTGGTTTATCTGCTATTACTTTTTAAAAGGGTAATTTTGTTTTGTGTTTAACTTTTTTTTACAATTTTATTTGGGTATACTTTGAATTAATTTGCTTATGCAATATACTTTGCTAGTAAGTAGCTGGGTTATGTGACCTAGTTTGGCTATGTGATTTTTTTGACTTTTTTGAATTTTTTTTTGTTTTCTTTTTAAAAGGTCCATTTTGTACTGTGTTTGAACATATCATTTGTACTGCCACCAAAAGTTTGAACTGTTTTAAAACATTTCTTGCATTTTTATCCGTATGTGTAGTTTCTTACTGGATAGATAAGTTTCTTTGATTTTTTATAATAAATTTTACTGATTTTACTGGTAATGACAATCTAAGTTATTGTAATAAAATTAGACATTTTATTTTAATTTACTAGTAAACCAGTATTTCAATCCCTACACATAGCCCACCACAAAAAAGAGATCATGTTTAAAATTAGCTATCTATTCTAAATGCAAGATTTGATTGAAAGCCTTTCATAAAATAAAGCCTGCCTGACTTTGTTGAATGCCTTTGGCATGTCAAAAGCAATGTCTAATTATTTTTTATCAAAGGTACCATAAAACTATTTAGTTACCAAATCAGTAGTAGAATGAGAACATTTGAAAACTACATCGGTTGTCAGTAAATAAGTTATTTAATTTAAATAAGATACTAAGAGTTTGTTAATAATTAGGACTGACAGGTACCGTTTTCCACCAAGCAGGAAAACAATGTTTATATAAGCACTTCTTAAATAGTTTTGAAAGACAAGAAATTTCTGGTGAATGCTATTGTGAGGCTGTGACAGGAATGTATTCTAGATTAGTTAAAAACAACATTGTCATAAAAGCAGGAGGAATTAAAATGTCTATCAATAGGCTGACTTATTTTGTGATTTTACTGCTAGGAAGTTTACCATTCAAGGTTTTAGAGTTCCTCCTACCTTCACCTCCAATCAAATAAGTGTTTTCCTGTGTTATTTGCTCTCAACATGACTAAGGAGCCTCAAATATTCTAATATAAGATCTATGGAGAATAATTTTTTGATATTTATGAAAAATGCGCTTTTTAGGTTTGTAAAAAAAATGATTTTTTACTTTTATGGAAAATTAAAAAATTCTAAGTTTGCTACGCAATCTTAAGGAAAATTTTTTAATATTTTAAAAAGGAAAATTATCACAATCTTAAATTTTTCTTTGTTTTATTTTTATTAGGAAAATTATCACAATCTTAAATTTTTCTTTGTTTTATTTTTATTAGGAAAATTATCACAATCTTAAATTTTTCTTTGTTTTATTTTTATTAGGAAAATTATCACAATCTTAAATTTTTCTTTGTTTTATTTTTATTAGGAAAATTATCACAATCTTAAATTTTTCTTTGTTTTATTTTTATTAGGAAAATTATCACAATCTTAAATTTTTCTTTGTTTTATTTTTATTAGGAAAATTATCACAATCTTAAATTTTTCTTTGTTTTATTTTTATTAGGAAAATTATCACAATCTTAAATTTTTCTTTGTTTTATTTTTATTAGGAAAATTATCACAATCTTAAATTTTTCTTTGTTTTATTTTTATTAGGAAAATTATCACAATCTTAAATTTTTCTTTGTTTTATTTTGTTCTTTTTAATAACTTATTAATTGATCATTATGATAATACAACAATGAATCAAAAACTCAATTTAAAAAATCAATTCAAAAAGTTTGAACTGAGTTCAATATAAGAACAATATAAAAATAATATAAGAACAATATAAAAATTTTCAACTGAGTTCTGAGTTCTCAACTGAGTTTTCAACTGAGAACTGAGTTCAATATAAGAACAATATAAAAAGTTTCAACAGAAGTTCAACTGTTTTTTTCTCTTTTTTTTTTCCTTGAATTTCTTTAACATATAATAAATACCAAACCAAAATGATAAATTTATTAACAAAATATTTATTAAAATAAAAAAAAAGCACTTTTTAAAAAGAATTTTATGATTCCTTTTAATAAGAACTAATTTTACGAAATTTAGTACAACTTTGAATAACATCTTTGAATGCAGTTTCTTAAATTTTAATTTCTTAATGATAAATTTTAACTTTTAAATATTTCAACAGATTTTAACTTTTCTTTTTTTATATATATATTTTTACAAATATAACATTTGCATAATAAAACTTTATTTATTTGCATAATAAAACTTTAGTGCTTATAAAAATACTTCTAAAGATTCCTTTAATTATAATGAAACTTTATTTATTTGCATAATAAAACTTTAGTGCTTATAAAAATACTTTCTAAACATTCCTTTAATTATAAAATACGCTGCACAATAAAGTTTTTGAAAATGAAATCAAGTGACAGAATAGTTTAAAAATAAATTGTTTAAAAAAGTTATTTTCAAAAAGTTATTTTCAAAATTTTTTTTTTTTTTTTGCATTTTCAAAAATTAGTTCTATAGTGTATGCTGGTTAGCAAAAAAATCTAGAGAATTTGAAGTAACATTTTGTCTGATCAATGAGTGTCATTTCTCTGGCAGCCCCATGTCACAAATGCCAACCCTCAGAATTAGGGTTGGCATTCGTTAATCCCAATCTTACGTTCGACCGATTCAGCAAAAAATTGCCAACCTCATTTCTATCTTTTATGGTCAAACCTTTGTTTTACGTTTATTTTGCCGACCTGATGCTGACCTCACACAGATTAAGGTTAGCAAATTGTTGCCGACATTATTTTTCCTATCCCCGAAGGCTGTATGCTGGTTGCCTATGAAAGGCTGGCTAGTTTATTAACACCAGTTTAAGTTAATTCGACAATACAATTATGTTAATTTGCAATTAAATTAAAATTTTTTTTTTTTATAGAATCGTTTTTCAAATTCACTCAAGAATGATCCTACTCAGTTGAAAAATGTTGAAAACCAAATAAATGAATTAAAAGGAATAATGATAAGCAACATAGGTAATTAGTTTCTTAGGATACTTTGTAAGTTGTTGTTATGTTTCTTAGTTAAAAATTCCATGGTAATATTTACCATATTTAATATTATTATGTTTCTCGTCTAGCACCATTATACCCAGGAACTAATTTATCTTATTTATTGAGATTAGTGTTTGAGGAATATACTTTGCAATGTAATTAAAAGTTCAGAAGAAAGTTTTTAAAAAGAATACATAATGAGTTCTTTCTCTCCTATAAAAATACTATCCTAGTACAATTGATAAGAAACCTTACTGTCAATATGTTTTATTATATTTAATTACCTACCTGCTTTTCTATATTTTTTTATTAGAGCAGTGAGACTATTGTTTTGATACATCAAACCTACCCAAATACCAAAGCAAAGAACTAATTTGCTCATTTCAAATTTATGCTTGCTGTTTCAAATAAATAGTTTTACTTTGATTTTTCAAAAATATGTTGGACCAGTGCTAGTTCCTGGATACTCAGAATATGTCGGGTGTCCGGCTTTGACTCAGCACATCTCAAGAAAAATAAGACTTTTGATAAGAATAGTTGCATTTTTTTTAAATATCAATTTTCAACAAATTTTCTTGTTTCAATTTCAAAAATGTTTCTAATTTCTACATAAATTAGGTAGTTTTTTTATGTATACAGTCTATTTTTTATCTATACAGTCAATTTTAGAGTTTCAGCTGATATCATTTGGTGGCTGGGGCTTATACTCTCCTTTCTCATGCAAACATCCATTACAAAAAAGTATCATAGTTGATCTTAAGCTTTTTATATATTTGTTATACTTCAAGTTGAAAAATTACAAATAAATCATAATATTTACATGTTTTTGACATCTGGATGTGTTACTTCTTTTTCTAAAATGTTTTTGACATCTGGATGTGTTACTTCTTTTTCTAAAAGATTTAAAGAATGTACAGAAATAGGGGGTTGTTAAAAGATTTGGATATGTTTCTTTGATTAAATCCCTCGTATACTTCTTTGTTGTATCTTTCTTTAAGATCTTTAATTACATTACAAAGGAGTTATAAAGGTATAATACTTGGTTTTTTTTATTTATTTGATGCACAGTCGGTTATGCATAAAAGTTTAGACTAAAGTCCATTATATGCACCATAAACAATAACCTAATCATTAACAGCACTACTCCACTCTTCTTGCATAATTGTTATTGTTATCTCTTCTTGAATAAGTTGATCCATCATTTTGTTGTTTACTTCATTATAAACTTTTTCTAGGAGCTCTCCTTCAAGCATTTTACAGATAAATGAATATCCTCAATGAATTGATCATGTCTTTAAACTCTTGATTTTCAGAAGTTTTAAATTATGCATTTGCACTAAAGAAAAATTTTATTATTTTTATATCTTTGTTTTTTTTCTGTTTCATATTATTTATTATTTTGTATGATGACATCAACTGTTGCTTTTTAAAAAAAAAATGGTACAATACTTGGTACAAAAATAAAATTGCTTTTTGCAAGGTGTTGGCAAACTTATAGAACTAACAGATACTAAAGAACTTGTTCTAGCTATGATGATGGTCCAGCTATCAGATGATGGCCCAACTATCAGAGCAGATTTACTAATATTTAAATTATTTGAAAATAAATTATCATAATTTTACATTTAAATATTTTGACAGATTAAGATTGTTACCTCTGTATGCTTGTGTAAATATTTAAATCTTAAATTATTTTTGTCCATGTTTTAATTGTTCCATGTTTTAATTGTTCCATGTTTTAATTGTTGTTTAATAACGAATGACAATAGTCACAAGAAAATTTTGTTTTCAACTTTCTTTACTTCCTCCCATGCTTCAGCTTTCTTTCTCTCACTTCCCATTGCCATTTTTAATTATTAAAAAATATTATTTTTTAAATCTAAAATAATTTTTTTTTAATCTAAAATTATTACATATAGGTTTAACATAAAATTTTCTTTTTTTCTATTAGAGTTTCAAATTATTTACAAAAATCTTTTAAAATTCTTGTTATAGATTATGAAATAACATAAAATATATTTTAAATAAAGTTATAAATTATGAAATAACATATAAAATATATTTTAAATAAAGTTATAGATTATGAAATAACATATAAAATTCATTTTAAATAAAGTTATAGATTATGAAATAACATATAAAATATATTTTAAATAAAGTTAAAAAAGAAAATTATAATTATTTTCAATATTATTGAACAAAAAAAAAAAAATTTAATGGATTTATAATAAAAATAAAACACAAAAAAATTCAAACCCAGACTGAAGCCCTCACAGCTACCTATTTTAGTATGATGTCATATTTCTTCACTAAATACACAATGTTGTGTACGTGTATGTATATATATATATATATATATATATATATATATATATATATATATATATATATATATATATATATATATATATATATATATATATATATATATATATATATATATATATATATATATATATACACACACATACATATATTATACAATTGTATAATTAATTTTATGTATATATTAAATAAATTACTTTTTAGATACTATTACAAGGAGAGGAGAGAAACTGGAGTTATTGGTTGAAAAAGCAGATGATTTAAATGCATCGGTATAGTATATTATTATTTTGTTCTGTGTCAATCTATCTCAAGTATTAGATACATCGATGTGGAATTTCCTAATAAAATTTTCAAGTCCTAGAGTTTACTATAGTATCAAATGAATGGTTTAAAATATTTAAATATATTTTCTGGATGAAATATTTGAATCTCTTTGACTTATAAGCTGTTTGAAATTTACTATGAATTCAATAATAATGCAGGTTTTTAAAGATAACTTAAGTATTGAACAGCTAAGAATTTAATTAGAAATATATTTTAAAGTTTTTAGAAATAATTTTAGTTCATAAAACTACTTTTGCACTCTCACAAAAAAAACTATATTAAAAAAGAAAGAAACTTCATACTAAATAATATTGAATTGACATGGAAAAATCTGGTCAACTTTAAATTGTGACTTTTTCCACAAAATAAGGCATAAAGGCTTTTTATTTCAAACTTTTTTTAAAAATAAATTTTATTTCCTTATGTTTAGTTGTGTTGGTAAACTTTTGTTTACAAATTGAAGATTTGCAAAATGTTGTGAAAACAAATTGAAGTGCATAAAGAAGTTTTGAAGTTTTTCAGTAAAAATTCATTGACATGTTGCATGATTGCTAAACATAAAAGTTTACTTAACATAAAATTTACTATCATATATATTATAAGTTTAAGACTACTGAAAGCATTTAGAAAAAAAAAAGAGCGGAAAGAAAGGGAAATAAAATTTACCATAAATCTACTAAGACATGTTTAAAAAGTACTCAAAAATACTCTAATTAAATCATTTCATAAGAAAAATGCACCTAAAAGATATTTAGATAGAATTCAAGGAATTCGATGCACAAAGAAGTAGATAAAAATAATGCCAGATAAAAATATGTACATAATTGAAGATAGCAAATCATATTGCAAGGCAGATTTTTCACAATTTTCTGGTCAACAATTTTACTGAAAGAAAAATATTAAAACTATCAATCATGAATTTAAATATATTTGACAAGAAAAATTTGCTTCCTAGTTTCTTATGTGGCAAGTTATGTAGACAATAGTTAAAGAAATTCTTCATAAATAGTAGCAACATATGAAGACTTCCACAGTGAATTTATGTGACCAATAAAGTGACAAGAAAAAATTTGCAAAATGATGGTTTTAATCTGCTAAATTATTTAATCGCTAACAAAGATATGTTGACTAGTGATCGACTAAAATAGAAAAAAAGCTGAAACCGAAAGAAACCGAAATTTCGGGTACTTCTTTTTGGTTCCAAAACCAAAATTTTGGCAAATATTTTACCGATACCGAAATTTCAGCTAGTTGAAATTTATTTGATTATAAAAATTTATTTAAAAATGTAATTTTACATTTTTTTTTATTTTTAATACTTGTATTATGTTAAAATTAATTACACGCGCATCCTAAAGTGAAATTTAATACATAAGTCGGCAAAAAAGTTAATAGCGAAATTTAACAACTGGCAGATAAGACAAGATTTTTTTGACAAATTTTGTGAAAATTCTCAATATTTTTGTGAAAGTTCTCAAAACATTTAGTGAAAATTCTAAAAAATAACTGTTTTTTAAATTAGATATCGGTTTTCGGTAAGTTTTTTTAACTGAAATTTCGATTTTTACCAAATTTATAAAAAGTACCGAATCCAATATTTTGGTATCGGTTCAAATTGAAGTTTCGGCCGAAACCAATACTGAAACAGAATTTCGGTTGACCACTAATTTTGACTAAAGCTTTCAGTGTCCAACTGATATATATTTCTTTTACTTTATTTTGATATTAGGTTAAATTTAAATCTTCTTAGTTTTTCTTGTTTTTTTTCTGTCTGAATGTTCTTTATGAAACTCAGAAGTTTCCTAAGAATTTTCAGAGCACCAATATAGAATCTTAGTGAAAATTTTGATTCTAAACCATGAGTCTGCTACCATCCCTAGTTAAGGAAATAAAGAAAAAGTTTTTTGATTAATTTATATTTTGTTTATTACTTCAGAAATGTAACAAACTTTTTTAATGAATCTTTTATTTTAAATTAATAAGATTTTTTTTAAAAGATGGTGAGAGTTATTTTGTAGTTATAGTTTTAATTTTTTATAGTAATCGAGACTACCTACCTTGTATCCATTTACCCGGCACTATATTGCATATTAAAACAAATAAATTTAGAGGTTGCTCCAACGGCTTCGACTTTTATCTAGATAATCATCTAGAGTCATTTTTTAAAATATTTTCAGTATGTTTTATCTAGTTTTTTAAATTCCTCAGTATTTTTTATTTATGTTTTATCTTTCTAACACTTTGATGTTGCTGGTGACCCTGGTGATACTTATTAAGCTGGGTCATTTTGTTTATTTTTTTCGGGATAGAAAAGTTCTCCTCAAGACTTCACAGTAGCTCTGCAGTTGAGAAGACTAATGATTTTTTTAAAATATTATTTACAACTTTCACAATTCAGTTTTAAGTTTGAGATAATTGTACAAATGTTTTCCATATACTAGGTTTTTTTAAAAACTTATAAAGTCATAGTATGACATCCTAATACTTATATTTGTAGTTTAAGAAGGGCTTTTTGATATATTGGGTAAATAATT